AAAAAAAACTTTATTTTAATTCTTTCATGTAAAATAGCTTCTTCTTTTTCGGAATAATTGTTATTTGTAGAAGCAAAAAACCGAAAGCTCCTAAAAATTCAATTTTGAAAAAAAAAGCAATTGGAAGATTGCCTTGTAGTAGGGCCAGTTCATTGTACTCAAATCGCAATTATATGCACTTTTCCTGTTTTTTTATTATTCTAAAAAAACCAACACTAATCAAATTTCACATCCAAGCCCATCGAATCCCGAATGGCCTTCTTTATAGTGTTCATTATGTTGATAGGGAGAATAATGTCTTCGTTATTCTGGAAAGGAAAGAGATAGATAAAAAGGCCTTCATACAACAGTTTGTAATTTATGAGATGTTTATTGCAATAGTTATGTACACGCTCTACAACTAGCTGCACACTTCAGTTTTGTGTGTATTTAACCAGGCGTTAAACCATTTTTCTTATATTTTTACGAGCGTTCATTATGAAAGGAACGAAACTGATAGTGGAAAATTCTTTCCCATCTTCGATTACTTTTTAAATTTGCATTTTTTGCTCATCAGGCGTCCTTTAGATGTGAACTATTGAAAGTCATGCAATTTGGACATATGTGGCTTTGCTTTTTGAACTGAACCTTACCTTGATAGAAACTGATCAAAATTTTGTTGCAGCAGATAACATTCTAGAGATTGGCTATGTTACATTACTTACGAATGCAAAACGTATGACATATGAGGGTTATCCGTTCCTCAGCGCAATTAGTGACGAACTTGACATGACGGCTGTGTTGGAGGACGCATGTCAAGTTTATTGGCTATTTATATTCCATGGGACTTCTGCGCTAATATTCTATTGCTAATGATACTTTGATCAAACTGTATTCAGACGCATCCTAAAAGTTTTTAAAAATTATATTTGTACTAGTTTTGAAAAACTTGCACTCTTCTGGACAATTTGAAGCCTAAGATGATTTAGACGAAATCATCCTTCAAAAATCAATTGACAAAGGATATGCCATCACTTCTTAGCCTCACGAAATCTAGATTACATTGTAATCTTATAGTATAGAGTTAGAGACATCTTATTTTTGTTTTCTGTTGACAGGTACCGTAGAATCTGGGACGAACACCCGAGTAACTATGTAGCTAGCCCAAGAGGAACAATGTGGACTGGAATATTAATGAAAGAACGTAAATGATTTCAAATTAAATAGATGCAAAGATAGTTTGATTACCCAAAAGTTCGTTTATGATTACCCCAAGTTTCGTGTTACAGGAAATTCATAGGACACTTAAAAGCACATATGCGCTCGAGTGTTTTATAATGCAGAAAGGCTCTAACCTGGCCATGGCTCGACGATCCTGAAATGGAAAAGTCCGAGCTGTGCCGGGATCTTCGCTCATCAGTCATTGACCGTCCTGAGCTAGTGTTAGGGAACTGAAGCTAAATTGGCCTTATATGAGAAATTAATTTGAGAAAATTCGAGATTTCTACTTCATTTCCTGAATCGCGCAACCCCAATGAGCCATCCGACCTTTTCGGCTGAAAGAACTCGATGAACCTGCTATCTCCTTACTAAATCACCCAACTCTTGAATTGACTTCGAGATCGATGTCAATGTTGTTTTCTGTTTCACTCATATCCCTATTTTCTTGTTGCTGCTCTTCTTCCTTCGCTTTTTTACTTCTTTCACAAGGCGTTAAAAGCGGTTCTCTGCACAGTATCGCTAGACGGTCGCTAAGCCTGAAAAACTCAAGACTTTGTGTGGAAGTTAGTCTTAAAGGAAGAGAGTTGAGGAGAAAAGGGGTTAATGAGTTCCAAACTTTTAGGCGCCAAATGTTATTTGAATGAGATGCTCATTGAGTGGGAGTTGCTAGTATAGTAATATTTTTGAGTGAAGCAGATAGTGTAGCTAAATAACCCCAGTTAGAAAGAGATTTTAAAGAAGTGAACCTTCTATGGCCTTTTACAAAAACTATACCAAATGCTTATGCTAAGTGAGCATTGTTCAAGTTGAAGAATGGTACGAAATATAAGATTTGGAATTTGTAGCTATTTTTAAACTTTGGAAGCTGTCATTAAAGGAACTGCCTGAACAAATATTCCACTTCGAGTTTTTTTCACCATTACTCAAGGCTGCTTTTAGACTGAGACGGTGGATGGGTGGCGCAAGGAGCATAGACCTCTTGGAAATAACGTCTCAGACATTTCCAATAATTTCAACCAGAGGATTCGCTTGGCTTATGACTTTGCCTAGGACTGTTTAGCCCACCTATTTTTCTCTGTTATTGCAAGCCATGTTTCTGCTGAGCACACATCCAGTTCTGCTTCGAGTCTTTGAAGTTCCTGGAAAATTCACTGCAGGCTTTCGAAATGCTAAGAGAATGAAATCTCCACTTCGTATCGATTCTTTCTCTCAGCCATCGCTTTTTCAGCTTTCGTTTTGCTCTCCAAAAGTGCTTCTCTCAATATTTCTCTGGCTTTGCATGCATCTCTCATCTTCGCCACAACCTCACTTTCTTGTTCGGCCATTTCCTTAATTGTAAATAGTTTTTACTCCTAATGTGCTGCAATTCTTAACGAAAGGAAGAGGAAAATGCATACGGTATGTGCAGCCCATTCGTTAAGATTTGTTCTGACGAGGAGTTCACTCATCAAACCACGCACATGCGCCATTCTGGCTTGGAACTGTTGAGCGGTTTCGATTTCGTAGTCCTGAGGCAAAACTCCGACTTCAAACTAGCCCAACTAACAATGGCCCAGCTTACCAGCGGCTTCTCAAGCTGTCGCAAAACTTCGATGTCAACATTTGGTGTTCCGGATTTTTCAATTTCCAAACGCCTTTCTAAGTCTGATTCCAGCGTTTTCTGTCTGGAATGTTAGTACTTTAAAAATGATTAAGAAGTAAGTCTTGTAACCTCCTGCGCATATGGCGAAGTCTTTCCTCATATCTTCTGGTTTCGTTCACAAGCCTTCTCAGTCGTCTTCCATCTAATTCTACATGTTCCTTCATTTGACGCAATTGGGCAATAGAAAGTTGCGTATTAACTCAAAAAAGATTAGTTCACATTTCTATTTTGATTAATTTCCAACTTAATATCAGGCCTGACATTATGTCAGCAGGGTATGGGGAAAGAGGGAGAAGGAGGAGGAGGGGAAGGGAGGTGGGAAGAGGTAGGGGGATGGTGTCTAAATGCATTGAGCCCTCATCTTTTTGCAAAAAGATAGTGCGCAAATTGAGAATTCTTGGCTTGTGATGAAACTGAATTCCTTCCTGATTTCCAAGTAAAACTAATTCTTCCCAAAACCTATACACCACCGGCAGTCGCTGGATTCCTTAAAGAAGGCTCGGGGAAGATTAACGAAAAGGGGCGTGGCTCTAGGAGGGAGGAGGGGGGTCACCCCCTTCCTGTTCAGAACTGTGTAAAACTCTTCTCGAAATTAATCAGAATTTTGAAAAATTGAAAATACTAAATTAGTAGTCAAAATTCAGTTCTTTTATTGCTATTTAGATTTTATTTCATTATTGAAAGTTCACGTCCTGATCTCAGGGGAGGGTAGGGAGTGGTACCTATCCACTATGATTATGTGAAAAAATATAATTTCTGAAGAACCGTAAGATCAATGATATTATCCCATCCATTTTTGACATTTTCCTCGTATTTGGGAATACCAAGACTTTCCCAAAGTTAACAATAGAAGAGGATTTCCATCAAAAACGATGATTTCTCCCATTTGTTGTGCGTAATGTAAAATCAAAAATAAACAATCTGACAACAACAACGTTATCAAAGCTGTCTGAAAGTGTCAAAAATATTGTGATGCTCTCAGCCGTATTGTTTACTATCGTTCTACTGTACCAGAAATCTGCCTACTTCTTTAGCTTTGGGAAACCCACGTTTTGAGCAGTGTTCTGCAAATTGTTGTTCTAACAAGACTTTGGCTTAGTTTTAACAAACAAATGCATTGTAACTTTAACATTGCCTCCTTTTTTTGTTCCCATTAAACTCTTCTACCTGCTGCTCTACCCTTTCATCAGCAGCCCGCGGTTAGAAATTAAATTAAACGAGGTGAGTGAGAGGTAAGAGTAACTAGAAGTAATAAATAATATGCAAATTGATCAGAAAATGAGAGAATCGTCTATTCCTCTTGTCCTTTACTTTTCATGGCTTCCCAAACCTCACTCAGATTGGCACTTTTTCAGGTCCACTATAGTGCCCATTGGGATTTGCCGTACGGCTGTCACTCATTCTAATATATTGGCAGATGCGCTATAGTTACACTTGTTCCTCCAAGCTTGATCGTATCTACTAGATTGTCCGGAAAATTTTGAAATGTTTTCTTTCTAAACCATCGTAAATCTGCTTTGTTGATAAAGCTGTGAAACAGTTTGCTGATGTTTTTTTAAGAAATTCAAGCACAAGCACCTTCAGAGCTAGCTTGGATACACCTTATTCGATCAGCACTTTTGGCTACACAAACGTTTTGAGCAATTTCTTCTCTGAATTCCCACCATTCAACGAAGCTATTTTACTTTGTGAGATTGTTTTAGTTAAAATCTCATGAAAGGAATGAGAATTATGTCGCCAATTATCTTACTATCCAATCCACGGTCAACTTCGCTTTAGTACCTTGAATTAAATAAAGGAGCTTGGCAGTTTCTGAGACATTGGGAAAGCAAATGAAACATCCATTTTGAAGAGTTGTTGAGAGACGAGCTCAGCTGCAGATTTTGCAATTGAAAAGATGAGAATCTTGAAGACAATGTTGAAAGTTTTTTGTTGATGTTTTTGACACTTCGAAACTTTAGAAAGTTGGAAAAACTTGAAGGGGCATGGCTACACCGATCGTATCCGTTAGGTTTTCGCCCACCAAAATGCCACAAATTTCGATAACTAACGCATATCAGAAAAATAATTTTCCAAATCTGATAGTTTAGAATTAGAATATGGTGCTGCTGCTGTCAGAGTATCACCCGTTGCATTATTAATGATACAAGATTATTAGTAACTAGCTCGCATACCCGGCTTTGCTCGGCTTTTGCGTTTGACTACTCTATCTCATCTAATTCTGCGTGA